CGGTCATGTATGATGATCCCGTGTGATATGTTACATTGTCAGTCATGTATGATGATCCCGTGTGATATGTTACATTGTCGGTCATGTATGATGATCCCGGGCGATATGTTACATTGTCGGTCATGTATGATGATCCCGTGCGATACGTTACATTGTCGGTCATGTATGATGATCCCGTGCAATACGTTACATTGTCGGTCATGTATGATGATCCCGGGCGATACGTTACATTGTCGGTCATGTATGATGATCCCGTGTGATATGTTACATTGTCGGTCATGTATGATGATCCCGGGCGATATGTTACATTGTCGGTCATGTATGATGATCCCGTGTGATATGTTACATTGTCGGTCATGTATGATGATCCCGTGTGATGTTACATTGTCAGTCATGTGTACATTGTCAGTCATGTATGATGATCCCGGGCGATATGTTACATTGTCAGTCATGTATGATGATCCCGTGTGATGTTACATTGTCAGTCATGTATGATGATCCCGTGTGATGTTACATTGTCAGTCATGTATGATGATCCCGGGCGATATGTTACATTGTCAGTCATGTATGATGATCCCGTGCGATATGTTACATTGTCGGTCATGTATGATGATCCCGTGTGATGTTACATTGTCGGTCATGTATGATGATCCCGTGTGATATGTTACATTGTCGGTCATGTATGATGATCCCGTGCAATATGTTACATTGTCGGTCATGTATGATGATCCCGTGTGATATGTTACATTGTCGGTCATGTATGATGATCCCGTGTGATATGTTACATTGTCAGTCATGTATGATGAGACTTAATATAAATTTGGATATTTGATTGAATCCTTGCAATACAAAGTCCCGGAAAGCCCCTGAAGGTACGAGGTGGTACCGGCTCCGATCCGGCAGAAGGAGGTCTTGGGAGGCGGGGCCTCCATGGATCGGACTTGTCTTTTCCTGCACATCTCACAGAGGCTCAATTGGATTGAGATCTGGAGAATTAGGAGGCCACATCAACACCTCAAAACTTGTTGTGGTCCTCAAACCATTCTTGAGTTCCTCAGCCCAGGTCACCTTCTTCCATGACTCCATGGTCCAGTTCTGATGCCCATTGTAGGCACGTTTGGCTGTGGACCCGGGTCAGCATGGGCCCCGAGTGGTCTGTGGCCCCCATACACAACAAGCGGCGATGCTCAGCGTGTTCGGATACCTTTCCATCAGAACCGGCCTTCACTTTTACACCAATTTGAGCTCCAGCAGCTCTTCTATTGGATCAGACTAAACGGGCCCCATGAGCCTTGACCACCCATGGCCCTGTCACCTGATTAGCCGGTTCTCCTTCCTTGGATTACCATTGGTCGGTTCTGGCTCCTGCAGACCGGGAACCTCCCACCAAAGTGCAGGTTTGGAGTTGGCCCGCCCCCGTCATCCCGACGTGACACATTGATCCTCGGAGTCCCTCCAATCCTTACCCTAGTCCATCTTTTTCATTGCACAACTTCAGAGACAACATGCTCACTCGCTAATATATCCCGCCCACTTTCAGCTCAGCTGCCATGGTAACCAGATAATCAATGTCATTCACTTTACCTGTCAGAATGTTATGGCGGCGGGGGGGGGGGGGGGTCCTGCGGTGTCATCAGTTGGGAAGAGCCACCAACTGTCATGGGAGTGGGCGGAACCAACAAGACCAGTAACCAAATCAGGGGAGTGGCCTGAGGCAGGACCAGCCGTAACCAATTAGAGGGGAGTAACAGGGCCTGAGCCAAACAAGGGGGTGGAGCCCACACAAGTCATGTGACCAAGCTCTGCGCACTGCAGTGGGGGAGAAATAACAGGATCTGAATAGAGGCCCGAGAATAGCCAATCAGCTCAACTTAAATGTATATAGAGAGGGAGGGGCTAGAATCTCAGTCCTGTTTTAACCCTTTCACTGCTGGGGTCATGTTTTTTAACTCTGCATGTTAAAATGCACATTATCGGCCTAAAGATTAGTCCATGCGGCCACACCCACTTCTTCCCCGCCCACCCTCCATGCACCCACTTCCTCCCCGCCCTCCATGCGCCCACTTCCTCCCCGCCCCCACTGCTCCTACACCCACTGCTCCCTCAACCCATGCACTCCACTTCCCCCCCTCCCCGCCCTCCATGCACCCCACTTCCTCCCGCCCCCCTACACCCACTTTCTCCCCGCCCTCTCTGCTCCCACGCCCGCTTTCTCCCCGCCCCCCGAGCCCGCTTCCTCCCCGCCCTCCCAAGCCCGCTTCTTCCCAGCCCTCTGCTCCCGAGACCACTTTCTCCCCACGCTCCTGCCTCCCACATTCGCTTCCTCCACACCCTCCAGCCCACGCCCTCTCCGTACTCTTGCCCTTGCTTTTCTCCCCGCCATCATTGGACCAGGACTGATCCCCACACATCTACATGGCCATCATCTACATCCTGCATCCAGCCTGAACCCGGGACCTCACTGACCCCCCGCCCCCTACAGGAGTACTGCCTGTACCCCCCATATAAGCAGCCCAGCCCGTCATACACTTGCAGGGATAGAACCATTCCCACCCCCGAGAAGAAAAACCAGAAAACACCACAAATCACTTATTGGATTTATTTCATATACAAAAAAAAAGACAAAATCAGCAACAGGAGAAGAATATTTTTTGGGGAGGGGGGGTGGTGAGGAGTCTTCTGTATTCATTCAAAGCCCCTGGAAAAAAAAAAAAAATAGAGAGAAGATAAGAGTACAGGAAGTGACATCATACTAACAGGAGTTTCCTCAAATGCCCATATATGGAGTTGCCCACCTCCCCCTTGGCCATTAAAGTGGACTTACTGCTCTCACCTCCTCCCCATGGCGTCCGACCCCCTTCCCAATGGCCAACAACATGGCGTCCGACCCCCTTCCCAATGGCCAACAACATGGCGTCCGACCCCCTTCCCAATGGCCAACAACATGGCGTCCGACCCCCTTCCCAATGGCCAACAACATGGCGTCCGACCCCCTTCCCAATGGCCAACAACATGGCGTCCGACCCCCTTCCCAATGGCCAACAACATGGCGTCCGACCCCCTTCCCAATGGCCAAACAACATGGCGTCAGACCCCCTTCCCAATGGCCAACAACATGGCGTCCGACCCCCCTTCCCAATGGCCAACAACATGGCGTCCGACCCCCTTCCCAATGGCCAACAACATGGCGTCCGACCCCCTTCCCAATGGCCAACAACATGGCGTCCGACCCCCTTCCCAATGGCCAACAACATGGCGTCCGACCCCCTTCCCAATGGCCAACAACATGGCGTCCGACCCCCTTCCCAATGGCCAACAACATGGCGTCCGATCCCCCCTTCCCAATGGCCAACAACATGGAGATCCCACCCTTCCCAATGGCCATTAACATGGAGATCCCACCCTTCCCAATGGCCATTAACACGGAGTCCAACCCCCTCCCCATGGCTAACAAGGTCCCCCTCTTCCCAATGGAGTCCAACTCCCCATCGTGGCCATTAATATGGAGGTTGCCCCCACCATAGCCAATAATATGGCGCTGTCCTCTCCTTTTTGTGGCCAATAATATGAAGTTGTGTCCCTTCCCCTCCAAACTCACGGCAATTATGGAGTTCCCGCTCTGCCCCACTCCCCAGACAGTTCAGTATGGAATGGGGGATGGGTTATGTCCTCACTTCCTGTCCTTCCTGACACCCTTGTATAGGATGTCATAGACAGGAAGTGAGCTCGAACCCTCCCCAGCGGGGACACCAGGAAGTTCTAGTCTTTTCTGGATTTGAGCGGGTCGGTCCCCTTACTTGATGAGGTGAGCGATCTCCCAGTTGGTCTCGGAGGACAGGGGCCCCTCGATCTCCACTCCGCTGGCGGTGACGGTGGCGATTTCATACTGAGGGAGGAAGGGGAGGAGATGTCAGAACTGGGTGGAGTCACATGACCGCCGCCTACCAGACGAGGACTTACTCTGTTATAGGATCGGGCGTCTCTGTAGTACAGGACCTTCATACAACGTTCGATCAGCTGCCGCGCCCTCTTCCCGCGTCAGGTTGGGTTTGTTGTCGACGACGTCTCGCATCAGCGGCTGCGCGGCAGGAAAACAAAAATCAAAGGCTCCTCCCATTTTCTGTAGCCACTCCCCTCCCATTCCTGAATGCGCTAAGCTGGCTTATTTTTCAGGTTCCACGACTGCTGCCCTCATCCTGACTCCACCCCCCCCGATCCAAGCCTGAACCCCAAGACAAGCCTGAACCCCGATCACACATATAGAGGGGGCTAGATAGATCCCCCTCCCCCCCATCACTGGGATCACACATGGGTGTCTTATCCGGACTGTAAGTCAGCAGGCGCAAGGGGGGGGGCACTCTGATGAGGGATTTCCAGCGCAAAGGGGGGGGGGGGGCTCTCTGATGAGGGATTTCCAGCGCAAGGGGGGGCACTCTGATGAGGGATATCCGGTACAAGGGGGGCACCTGGCGCAAGAGGGGGCACTCTGATGGGGGACCACCCAATGCCAGGGGGGGGCACTCTGATGGGCGACACTGATAGGGGCGCCCAACGCCAGGGATGCACTCTGATGGGGGAGGGGGAAATCAGACGCCAGAGGGGGCACCAGACGCCAGAGGGGGTGCTCTGATGGGGCGGGGGGGTTGGGGGAACCAGATGTCAGAGGGGGCGCTCTGATGGGGGGGGGACCAGATGTCAGAAGGGGCGCTCTGATGGGGGAGGCCTCTGACAGGGGACACAAGGGGGGGCCCTCTGACGGAGGACGCCAGATGCAAGGGGGGGGGGGCCACCCTGACGGGGGACGCCAAGGGGAGGGGACACCCTGACGGGGGACGCCAAGGGGAGGGGACACCCTGACGGGGGACGCCAAAACGCAAGGGGGGGGCCACCCACTGACGGGGGACGCCAAACGCCAAGGGGGGGGCACCCTGATGGGGGACGCCAGATGCAGGGGGGGAACTTTTTTTTGTTGCCGGACAAGAGTGACATCATGGTGAGACTCAGACCTCTCCGGACCCCGATACCCCCCCCCCCCCCGGAACACTCACCTGTGCCAGGTACGCTCCAAAGCCGGTGGCTATCGTTGGCGCCTCGTAGGCCACGCCCAGTTTGTCTACATAGCCCAGGAAACTGCAAGACAAGGAGCGGTGTCACTAGTGCGGTGTCACTGGAGGGAGAGCATGCAGCATTCACAGGTACTAACAGTGCAGAGGGGGATGGGTGGAGGAGGGGCGGGAATCCCCTTTAATGGGAACACCGGAGACTCTGCCGCTCATTGTATCTGGTTACCTGTGCCGATTGGCTCCCTATTATCAGTAGGGGGAGGAGTCTCACATCTACGTCCGCTCCTCACCACCAATCGGAACATGGATTGTCATCTCTCAGATGCAGGTGGGAGGAGCTTAAACCTTTCATGTTCATTCATTGGATCTATAAATAGATCGGCACGTGGCGGCAGCCAATCGGACGCAGCATCTGCTTCCTGGTGACCTGCTTGCCCCGCCCTCCCTCGATGCGGATTGGTCTCCTTGGACTGGATGGGATCTGTTTTTAGGGTCCCAGCCGGCTGCCCCCCCCGTTCTGGAATATGGAACAGGCCAATAGTGGGGGTGGGGGGGGGGCCGGCGGACTCACCTCTCCCCGTTGTAGAATCCCGCCAGCACCACGGTGTTCCATAACGGGTTCATCTTACAGCGCCGGTTGTACATGACGCGGGTCAGCCATGAATGGACGGCTTTGGGGCTGTAGTTGTGTCCGTCCCCCCACCAGCTCCTCATCGATCCTGAGGACAGACAGCAGTCATTGGTTGGAGGCTGTCACATGGGTGGGGAGTCGGGGGGAGGGGCCCAGAGGCTGTCGGGGGAGGGGCCCAGAGGCTGTCACATCAGGGGGTGGTCGGGGGAGGGGCCCAGAGGCTGTCGGGGGAGGGGCTGTCACATCAGGGGGGGTGGTCAGGGGTCACGTCGGGGGGCCCAGAGGCTGTCACGTCGGGGGCCCAGAGGCTGTCACGTCGGGGGCCCAGAGGGGTCACGTCGGGGGGGAGGGGCCCAGAGGCTGTCACGTCGGGGGAGGGGCCCAGAGGCTGTCACATCAGGGGTGGTCAGGGGAGGGGCCCAGAGGCTGTCACGTCGGGGGAGGGGCCCAGAGGCTGTCACATCAGGGGTGGCCCAGGGGAGGGGCCCAGAGGCTGTCACGTCGGGGGAGGGGGGGGAGGGGCCCAGAGGCTGTCACGTCGGGGGAGGGGACACTTACACCATCTGCTCCAGGACCTGTTTGAGGTGCTGGTAGTCGGCGTAGTCCCCGGAGGCCCCCAGCATGGTACACGAGTTCACCTTCATCATCCTGGAGATGTTCCGGAATCGGGCCAGAGAGCCGTACGAGCCCAACATGTCCGCCGCCATTATCACCCCCCCATCAAACTTCACCCCCAGCACTGAGGTGCCCGTCACCATGGGGTTCCTGGGGGGAGGAGCAAATGTCAGAGGGGGAGTATGGAGGAGGGGTACACACAAGGGGAAGTGTATGCACACAGAGGGGGGGGGGGGGGGGGAGGGGGGGGGGAGGTGGGGGGGGGGGAGGGGGGTACACAGAGGTGGGTGGGGGGGGTACACAGAGGTGGGGGGGTACACCAGAGGGGGGGGGGAGGGGTACACAGAGGGGGGGAGGGGGGTAACACAGAGGGGGGGAGGGGGGTATACAGAGGGGGGGGTGGGGGGGGGGGGGGAGGGGTGGGTACACAGAGGGGTGTATACAGGTGGGTGGGGGGGGAGTGGGGTACACAGAGGGGGGGGGGGGGGTATACAGGTGGTCAGGGGGGGGGGGAGGGGGGTACACAGAGGTAGGGGGGGGTGAGGGGGGTACACAGAGGGGGGGAGGGGGGGGGGGGTACACAGAGGGGGGTATACAGGTGGGGGGGGGGGTACACAGAGGGGGGGAGGGGGGGTGGTACACAGAGGGGGGGGGGTACACAGAGGGGGGGGAGGGGGGTACACAGAGGATAATGTGCGGAGAAGTGAAAGTGAAACCCCTCCCCCACCTACCTCTGTACCCCTCCCCCCATCCCTTCCCCCCCCCTCTCCGGTGGCTCACAGGGTGTGTCGGCGGGGTCCCATCCCGGGGAAGGAGTGGAGCTCTCCCGGCGCCGGTCCTCCGGGGAACATCCTCATCTCGGCTCCGTCCATCATCATCTTCCCAACAATGACACTGCGAGACACACCGGAAACCGGCTACGTCACTTCCGGCTCCCGACTACTTCCTAGAGGTGGAGGCGGGGTCTAAGCTCAGCACGTCCCGCCCCGTACCCTCTGACTAGTGGAGGGGAATTCAAAGGCGGGGCCTGAGTGCAGCGCGCTCCGCCCCTCCCGTGTCACACCCCCGTATATTCTGATTGGTAGAAGGCAAAAGAAAGGCGGGGCCAAGTACAGCGCCCTCCACCCCGCCTGTACCTTCTAGGAAGAGTCCTCCGCTCCGCCCCCTGCGCTGTGTCGGTGTGTGGCCGCTGAGGGGCAGCACTGAGCTGAAGGAGAGAAGACCCCTCCCCCCCACGTGCGACTTTGGAGGGTTTCCATTGAAGTCTGACTCTGAAGTCGCAGAAAGTCGGGGGCGGAAGTAGCGCGGGAACTGCTGTGGGGGGCGACTCGTCATGTGACTTTGGTGTCCATAAGTGTGAATGGAGCCGAATATATGGAAGTGTTGTCACCACTTGTGCAATTTCCCGCCCCCTCATAGACTTCCTCCCTCTGGTCCCGCCCCCTCATAGACTTCCTCCCTCTGGTCCCGCCCCCTCGAAGACTTCCTCGCTCTGGTCCCGCCCCCTCGTAGACTTCCTCGCTTTGGTCCCGCCTCCTCGTAGACTTCCTCGCTCTGGTCCCGCCCCCCTCGTAGACTTCCTCGCTTTGGTCCCGCCTCCTCGTAGACTTCCTCCCTCTGGTCCCGCCTCCTCGAAGACTTCCTCGCTCTAGTCCCACCCCCTCGTAGACACTTCCTTGCTTTGGTCCCGCCTCCTCGTAGACTTCCTCGCTCTGGTCCCGCCCCCTCGTAGACTTCCTCGCTTTGGTCCCGCCTCCTCGTAGACTTCCTCGCTTTGGTGCCGCCTCCTCGTAGACTTCCTCGCTTTGGTCCCGCCCCCTCGTAGACTTCCTCGCTTTGGTCCCGCCTCCTCGTAGACTTCCTCGCTCTGGTCCCGCCCCCTCATATACTTCCTCGCTTTGGTCCCGCCTCCTCGTAGACTTCCTCGCTCTGGTCCCGCCTCCCTCGTAGACTTCCTCGCTTTGGTGCCGCCTCCTCGTAGACTTCCTCGCTTTGGTCCCGCCTCCTCGTAGACTTCCTCGCTCTGGTCCCGCCCCCTCGTAGACTTCCTCGCTTTGGTCCCGCCTCCTCGTAGACTTCCTCGCTCTGGTCCCGCCCCCTCGTAGACTTCCTCGCTTTGGTCCCGCCTCCTCGTAGACTTCCTCGGGCCTCGCTCTGGTCCCGCCCCCCTCGTATACTTCCTCGCTTTGGTCCCGCCTCCTCGTAGACTTCCTCGCTCTGGTCCCGCCCCTCTAGTAGACTTCCTCGCTTTGGTCCCGCCTCCTCGTAGACTTCCTCCCTCTGGTCCCGCCTCCTTGAAGACTTCCTCGCTCTGGTCCCCCCCCCCTCGTAGACTTCCTCGCTTTGGTCCCGCCTCCTCGTAGACTTCCTCGCTCTGGTCCCGCCCCCTCGTAGACTTCCTCGCTTTGGTCCCGCCTCCTCGTAGACTTCCTCGCTTTGGTGCCGCCTCCTCGTAGACTTCCTCGCTTTGGTCCCGCCCCCTCGTAGACTTCCTCGCTTTGGTCCCCGCCTCCTCGTAGACTTCCTCGCTCTGGTCCCCCGCCCCCTCGTAGACTTCCTCGCTTTGGTCCCGCCTCCTCGTAGACTTCCTCGCTTTGGTGCCGCCTCCTCGTAGACTTCCTCGCTTTGGTCCCGCCTCCTCGTAGACTTCCTCGCTCTGGTCCCGCCCCCTCGTATACTTCCTCGCTTTGGTCCCGCCTCCTCGTAGACTTCCTCGCTCTGGTCCCGCCCCCTCGTAGACTTCCTCGCTTTGGTCCCGCCTCCTCGTAGACTTCCTCGCTCTGGTCCCGCCCCCTCGTAGACTTCCTCGCTTTGGTCCCGCCTCCTCGTAGACTTCCTCGCTCTGGTCCCGCCCCCTCGTAGACTTCCTCGCTTTGGTCCCGCCTCCTCGTAGACTTCCTCCCTCTGGTCCCGCCTCCTCGAAGACTTCCTCGCTCTGGTCCCACCTCCTCGTAGACTTCCTCGCTTTTCCCGCCTCCTGGACTTCCTCGCTCTGGTCCTGCCCCCTCATAGACTTCCTCGCTTTGGTCCCGCCTCCTCGTAGACTTCCTCCCTCTGGTCCCACCTCCTCTAAAACTTCCTCGCTCTGGTCCCGCCCCCTCGTAGACTTCCTCGCTCTGGTTCCGCCTCCTCGTAGACTTCCTCGCTCTGGTCCCGCCCCCTCGTAGGCTTCCTCCTTCTGGTCCCGCCCCCTCGTAGACTTCCTCGCTCTGGTCCCGCCCCCTCATAGACCTCGCTCTGGTCCCGCCTCCTCATAGACCTCGCTCTGGTCCCGCCTCCTCGTAGACTTCCTCGCTCTGGTCCCGCCTCCTCGTAGACGTCCTCGCTCTGGTCCCGCCTCCTCGTAGACTTCCTCGCTCTGGTCCCGCCTCCTCGTAGACTTCTTCGCTCTGGTCCCGCCCCCTCGTAGACCTCGCTCTGGTTCCGCCTCCTCGTAGACTTCTCGCTCTGGTCCCGCCTCCTCGTAGACGTCGTTCCTCGCTCTGGTCCCGCCTCCTCGTAGACGTTCCTCGCTCTGGTCCCGCCTCCTCGTAGACGTCCTCGCTCTGGTCCCGCCTTCTCACTCTGGTCCCACTTCCTCATAGATTGGCGTCCCCATTGAAAGAGAAAATAATATCAGCTTTTGCTACATTTCCCCCGCAGTACCTCCTTCCTGCCACTAGATGTCCTCAGTCTGATGGCCGGAGTCATTCAGTCCTCTTCCTCTGAGCCCAGGTCATCCATGCCAACCACCCCAGCCTGTGATTGGACAGTGAGAGGAGAAGCAGCTTAGTGATGAACTCATCTCTCCCTCACTCTGCTCTCTCCTCCTAACAGCATGCTGCTTCTCCCTCCTCAGCCTGAGCCCTGCTGTACTGGGACTGCTAGAACTCAGCACAGGGATGGTGGGAACCCCTCATAATGGGCACAGCGGGTGTACAGACCCGGGAACTCAGCACAGGGATGGTGGGAACCCCTCATAATGGGCACAGCGGGTGTACAGACCCGGGAACTCAGCACAGGGATGGTGGGAACCCCTCATAATTTGGGGTACAGGGATGGTGGGACCCCCCAGTATTGTCTGGTTGTTCATTATTAGGAAAGTTTTGGATTGTTGCTCTGCATTGAATGCTGTATGAGTGCCAGGACCCCTCCTCCTCCTTTCCCCTCTGGGGCCCCTCCTCCTTCCCCCTCTGGGGCCCCTCCTTGGCTCCGCCCTCCTACCCTCCCAGGCTATGTAAGCTCACATTGGCAGAGATCAGAGTCTGATCACGGGTCGGTCAGCAGAGAGGACAGGACTGCAGCACCATGGGTGAGACTCCTTGGTCAGCCCCCCCGGCCCCCCATCTCCCGTCTATGGGGGGGGTCTGAGTTTTCTGACAGCCTGATGAGTGATTGCAGCGTGTGTGGAGGGGACAGATGCCCCGTGTCCCCCGCCTGGCTGTCATGCTGGTCTCCTGGCTTCCATGTGATGTGAAGCAGGCAGGTTGGTGACTTCACTGGCTGCATGCTTGTTGCTGTGCCAGGAGGGAGTCACAGAGCCCCGCCTCCTGAACATGCCAACTCCCCCGGCTGCCCCGCTGACCGGGAACAAGCAGGTGGGCTGGGAGTTTGGACTTCACTGGCTGCATGCTTGTTAGGGTGGGGGGTGATGAGGCTGCAGCCAGGGTTTCTCCCGGATCAGCCAACGCAAGCATGCAGCCAGTGAAGGCAGAACTCCGGATTGGATAGAGAACAGATCCCCCCGACAGCCAGACAAGGTCAGTGCATTGTGTAAGAGGTGAGTGCGGACCAATCCCTGAGCAGAGGGGAATCGCAGGTGAGCGGCCAATCACAGACAAGGGTCTGATCACGGGGGGGGGGGGGGCGTCCAATCACAGACAAGGGTCTGATCATGCGGGGGGGGGGGGGCGTCTGACAAGGGTCACATGGGGGGGGGGATCACGGGGGGGGGTCCCAATCACAGACAAGCGTCTGATCACAGGGGGGGCGTCCAATTATAGGGGGGCGTCTGATCACGGGGGGGGGTCCAAATCACAGACAAGGGTCTGGGGGGGTCATCCAATCACAGACAAGGGTCTGTTCAAGGGGGGGGGGGGCATCCAATCACACAGATCACAAGGGGGGTCGTCCAATTATAGGGGGGGGGGGGGGCATCCAATCACAGACAAGGGTCTGTTCATGGGGGGGGGGGGCATCCAATCACAGACAAGGGTCTGTTCATGGGGGGGGGGGGCATCCAATCACAGACAAGGGGGGGGGGGGGCATCCAATCACAGACAAGGGTCTGTTCATGGGGGGGGGGGGCATCCAATCACAGACAAGGGTCTGTTCATGGGGGGGGGGGGCATCCAATCACAGACAAGGGTCTGATCATGGGGGGGGGCATCCAATCACAGACAAGGGTCTGATCATGGGGGGGGGCATCCAATCACAGACAAGGGTCTGATCACAGGGGAGGCGTCCAATTATAGGGGGGCGTCTGTTCTTGGGGGGGGGGGCATCCAATCATACGGGGGGTATCTGATCACGGGGGGGCATCCAATTATAGGGGGGCACCTGATCCCGGGGGGTGGTGTCCAATCATAGGGGGGGTATCTGATCACGGGGGGGCATCCAATTATAGGGGGGCACCTGATCCCGGGGGGGGGGGGGGTGTCCAATCGCAGACACAGCATAGTAATGCTGGTTGAGGGGTCACTTTGGCATGCCCAAACATCACCCATTTGGGGCTTATAGACACTTAAGGCATCTTGTAGTGATTTGCAGTCATGCTGGTTATGAGGCCACTTTAGCATGCCTTGAGTGTTCTCGGTCTTCAGGCATGCTGAAATGACAGTACAGTAACAATGGTTGGGAGGTCATTTCGGCATGCCTTAAATATCACCCATTTGGGGAT